GAGTGTCCCACAAGAGTGTCCTATAAGAGTGTCCCACAAGAGTGTCCTACAAGAGTGTCCCACAAGAGTTTCCTACAAGAGTGGCCCACAAGAGTGTCCTACAGAGTGTCCCGCAAGAGTGTCCTACAAGAGTGTCCTTTGGACATATTAGTTTTTCGATCGTGTTTGCATTCGGGTTCGTGGGTTCCATCTTGTTATATTTCTACTGCGTGGGAAGCTGGGAGAGGGCGAAAACCGGGCGACCTGGTGAGGTGGACTTGATAGTAATTGTCGGGTGCCCTGGAGTAGGAGACCTGGTAGACGTAGGGTAGGGTAGTCGAACGCCAGGACACCCATTGGTTTCGGCGTGTTGCACGACGAACCGTATGGTTTGCTGTATGCTGTTTGCACTCTACCCTTGGGCTGATTCTCTTTGGGCCAAACCCCGACTGATATGTATAGTTTATTCAATAGACTTAGAGGAAACAGTGGGAAACATGAAGAAACCTGGAACAAGGCACCCATGTGCACCCTTTATGAACGTGCACCCTGAAGATTTCTTTGAACAAGCGAGTTGGCAGTGCTTCTGCCGCACCAAAAAACGTCCTAATTGTTGGGACCGTCTCTGAGGGGTTCCGTATTCTTTGTGGGAAGAACATCTACCAGGGCCCCCTAAGGGATGATTAATACCCCGAATCACCTCTAAGGAGCTATAATTAGACACCCCTTAAAGGGCCCTGCTACCCTTTCCCTCCCAAAAGCCCAGCATTCCCCCTGTTCTCACCTTCTCACCCCTCCCCTGTTCTGACCCTCGCCGCGCCCAGCCTTCGTGTGGCACCAGACGGGGCAAGTGATGGAGACGGCCATTGCGCCTTGGGGCGAAGGGAACGGTGGAACCATCCTCGGACCTGCCGAACTCGGTTCAGAACTGGTGACCCTGAGTTTGGAAGGTGCTGGATGGTTGTATTATTTTTCACCCACATCGAACTTTGACTCGCGGAGGGAGTTTCTGAAATTGGGGTGCCAAACTTGGAAGGATTTGGAGGGTAGGAGAATGGACATGCACTCACCGGATGGGATTGAAAACCATTCCGGAACAAGCTGGCGCAGGGCGCTAGGTAGGCTCAAGCCCTCAAGCCACCATAAGCCACCTGGACAGGTGTCACATGGAATGAAAGCTTGAGTGAGTCCCCAAAGCCCCAATGGGACACTAGTTTGTTTGATGAGTTTTGGGCCCTGGCTGGGACAAATGTCCAACGTCTTTAAGGGCTGCGGCAACTCGATCTCCGGCTTGTTGGGGATGGAGGTTGACATCACAAGCCAACCACCAGGACCCTCCTGGTCAGGCTGTTTGGAGACCAACTGGGCAACAGGGGGTTTTCACCTGGGCACCGGACGAACGTCACAAACACTCCCAGACCTAACTAATGAGACTGCCATATATGCTTCCTTCACCACCACCCCTGGCCGTTTTGAAGGCAGTCCGTCCTGGCAGTCCCATGAGTCGTGTCTGGGACTTGGCCAGGAGGGTCCAGGCAGAGGATCATATGATCAGAAAGGGGCTTTTCTTCTTCTTTCCTGCAGACTTGCCCGTCGCCTCTGAAGCGTTCTGGAGGGTCCAGGGCAAGGAAGACACATGGCTCGTGGGTCATGGCAGCCCCGAAATTGGCAGGTTGAACCAAGTCTGGTGATGTCGATTCTGTTCATTCTCGGAGTGGGATCAAACCCAGCGGCCCGTCCCGAGCGACCCACCAAACCCGATCTCTCACCACCCGGTGGGACCGGGGCCGTCTCACCGGCGCTTGCCGTCTCGCGAACGCTTTCGAACGCTACACTCTTCTGACCTCGATCTCTCAGGTGGCCATCAAAGATCAGAGCTATCCTGGGAAGGTGGTGCTGGGTGGCGTCGAGAAGGACGTGGCGAAGAAGCTCATGGACTGCTTTGCTGTCATGAGTGGGCCCCAGGCACTGATCGAGTGGACTCCACATGTGGAGCACCGGGTGGCAGGTGGCTGATCCCATCGGTGGCAGGGTGTCACCGGAGGAACACTCCAGGTGTTTTTTGCTCCGGTCTTTTTGGGCATGGTTTGGTTGACTGAATGTTTCCATTTGTTTACTATACCAGAAACTCCACCAATGGCATAGTATTTGCCTACAAGTTGGCCCACATTGGGATGCGTTTCTGAGGTCTAGGAGTCTAGAATCCAGGCATGGCTGTTCCAATCTCATCCATCGTCTTTGGGCATGTGCTTGGGCCTTTGTGACCCATTTGGAGGCCTTGACGGGTTGAACATGGGCATCCGGGATGGGCCGTACGAGCAAAACACCTGCATGGTCAGGTGGAGAACAAGAACGACAGCTATGACCAGGACGTCGAATCAACGCGAGAGCGAGGGAAGAAGGGCCTGGGGCCGGACCTTCCCCTCTGCGATCTTTTTGGAGTCTTTGAGTGGCCTCTGTTTGTGCAGGGCTTTAGCAGCTATACTTGAAGCAAACGGAGGTAGTCAGAAGGTCACTAAGAAGGAAACTAGAGGACAAGTTGCTTTCAAGGGGTCCTTCCTCCACTGCCAGTCTGGATGCAAATTCTTTTGTTGACAAAGACAGGTCGTAGCATCACTCATTTGAGATTGTTTAGCTATGTCAAGTTGGCTATCCGACCCTCAGTCCCAACAAGTTCGGCTTGCAGACAAGGCTGCAACCAGAGCTCCCAGTGAGGAGCTTTTTCGATGAGCAAAGCACAATCTCAAACACCATAACTCAGTGAGGCAACTAGATATGTGATTTGTCAATGAAGAGAGAGAGAGAGGGAGAGAGAGAGAGAAAGAAAACACATCGTGAATAATATTGAAAAATAGCAATAGAATGCAATAGATGATTTAAACTTACATGTTAAAATCATGTTCTCCCCAAATCAGACTCTTTGTCCTCTTTCCTCAGCCTGTATATACAGGCACGCCACGCCTGCAGAACGGCGTTCAACGGCGCTTGCCGCGCGCTTCGCTCCAACTTTGAGGACTATGACCTAGCATTTCGCCATACGAAGATGACCTCTGGCAAGGCCATTTGCAGCCTGCAGAACTCCTGGTGGCCGTATGGTGCCTGGAAGAAATGGTCAGTGGGGATGGTCAGGGTGTTTTTGGTTGATGGTCTAAGATGGTCTATGGGATTCGAAGGTGGGTCACAGTTTGACCTATTGCGAGGCGTTATTTTTTGGATGCGGTGGTTTGGTGTTGTTTCGATGGTGCCGGTGCTGTGCATTGGATGCATCTTGGTTTAACCGGAGCACTTTTAGCACAGAGCAGTCGCTTCAAATTCCTTCGCAGAGCGACTGGGTCAGATGCATCAGACTCCGATCCCAAAAATGGCACAGCAGTAGTCACAGCAGCTTTTCTTCAGTCCAATCATGTCCTTCTTCCACAGGCCAAGGATTTGCCCAAGTGCCCAAGCAAGTAGCTATCCAAACTCGTAGTCTTTCAGCCATGGCAGCAAAAATTTCAGCATTACAGCCGAGTGGTGAGGTCATGGTCCTTGAAGTCATGCCTGAGATGACAGGCTGCGAGCTTAAGCAGCAGATCAAGCACGGACAACCTTGGGACGAGCTCACTTGCAGCACTACGAGTGTGGAAATCATTTTTGGAGACAACCAATTTCTGGCCAATGATGCAAATGTATCGGACGCTGGAATTGCTGAAGATACTGTGGTGAGCGTTGTCTTCAAGCCAAACAAGGTGATTTGCTCCAACAAAAATGCATTCACCAGTCTTGGTGGCATCGTTGACTCCGAGCTATTGCTTGTGGTTGAAATTCCAGACGATGAAACGCACATTCATGAAAGCGCTTTTGAAGGTTGCAACGAATTGGCCAAGTTGATCATCCCAGACTCGGTGACTCACATTGGGGATGCTGCCTTTCGGAATTGCACCTCTTTAGCACACTTGACCATTCCAGACTCTGTGACCCACATCGGGGATCGTGCCTTTTGGAAATGCAGCTCTTTCTCAAACCTGACCATCCCGGACTCGGTGACCCACATTGGGGGCGGTGCCTTCCTAGGTTGCAACTCTTTGGCAAGCTTGACCATCCCAAACTCGGTGACCCACATCGGGGATCATGCCTTTTACGCATGTGGCTCTTTGGTGAACTTGACCATCCCCAACTCAGTGGCCCACATTGGAAATTACATGTT